AACAAAAAATGCATAAAAATAAGGCTTTTATGAAAACACTAAATAAAAAATTGCTTACCAACACACAAACCATTCACAGTTGCTAAATTGGCCTAAAATTGGTTGAAGAGGTTGAAGATTCGGCTCTCCCCGATGGGAGTCGGCTCTTCTCGTTCGCTACAAAGAATCGGCCGGCTCGTCCGTGTTGTGCCGAATTCTGCACCCCTGCCAGATTATGCTCCCCCTCGTTGAAGTCGCTACCTGGTTGCCTAATCCTAACCCCTCCCTCACACCAACTCCTAAACCTACCAATATTAGGGGGTGCATAATCTGGCAGGGTGCAAATTTCGGCACTACACCGGCACGTGTAGCAGTATACACCCTACCATTTGTGATCTTGATTGCTGTCAGTCATTACTGTTGTTGTGCTTTTGGGTTTCATCGGGGCATTATACTGTTTAAAGAATTAGATTATTGTTTGTTGTGACCACTGATACTAAATTGGTCACATTAATCATCTTTGTGATTTCAACAGCATTAAAAATGTGTCATAGTAATGTCTGTTTCACATTTCTAAGGCATATGATCATCATTAAAGGGAAAATTCACTCAATTGTCATAATTTACTCATCCTCTTGTTGGTTTCAATCCCATATGACCTGTTTGACTTGCCCTTACTCTGGAATAAAAAATACGGGGTGTCTATTTACATTTAGTTAAAAGTGGCTGTAAAACATCAGTTCCAGTGGTGCAGATGGATAAGTGCGTGTCTTAGGCTTGTTGACGTGATCGACCCGGGTTCAATTCTGCCTTTTGCCGAACTTTTTTTTCCTCCCTTTTCAAATCTCGTATTACATCGTAAAGGCATTTATTTTCAATAAAAATGAAGGAAATAATCAAAAAGTTGCATGGGAGTCGTTAACACTGGACTGTGACTGGAGCACTGATGGCAGGAAATGACGGCACTTCTCGGCCACCGTAGGAAATGGAAGACGAATCGTGTAGCGGGAGTGCAGGAGGGAGTGAATGGTGGAAAGTAGTAAATCGGAAAATAAAGAAAAACAATAGTCATGGATAATTTACGGATAGTGGAAAGGAGGATCACGTGAGTAGGAAAAATTACGGATAGTGGAAAGGAGGATCATGTGAGTAGGAAAAATATAGAGGAATACAAAGTAATGATGAAATTTGCAGAACCTGGTATGACGATAAACCCGATTAAACTGACCAAATCTCTGAACAAAGCGTTAGGAGAAATAAATAGTGCAAAGACTCTGAGAGATGGAAACTTGATTATCATGTGTAAGGACGAAAAACAACAAAATAAGGCACTAAGTATAAATTCGATGCTTGGATACCCGGTATCATGCACATTGATGAAGACGAAGCCTTGGGTTAGAGGCGTAATAACTGGAATTCCTACTGATGTACATGCTGATAAAATTAAA